AGGGGTGCGCAATAGATTCCAGCGGGCCTGCGGGTCCTACAGGGACTTCCGAGCGCAGGGGCGTCAGTCTTCCGCCGGCCGCGAGTCCCGGCTGGTAGGCGCGGAGTGCATGCGATTTTTTTGGCCGACGAAGTAGAGATCCTGCGTGCATTCCCGGCACCTCCACGGGGCTGTTAGACACAGTTCAAAGTAGAGGACAGACGCGGTTTCTGGAGGCTCAAGGTGCAGAACGCTGACCTTGCCTTGTGACCCCGCGTGTTCTCATGCCTCCCTCCCACCCCGGGCCTTCGACTTCTAAAAGTAAACTTTAAAATAAACCCCCTCGGGAGCCAGCAGGCGGCGTGGTGGTTAAGGGCTAGACACTCCCACATGGCCGAACTCCGTTGGTGCCTTGTTTTCTCGCTTTCCCTCTGTCTCTTTCTGGTCAAATTAAAACAAATGTGGTCAAGTTGAAATAAATGAATGAATAAATAAAATTAAATAGATTTTATTTTTAAAATAAAATAAACCCCATACTGTTCCTCTAGTTAAATATCTAGGTCCTCTTTGGTCTCCAGGTTTTACGTAGAGCAGAGCGGGTCCTCAGAGATCGTCCTCAGTACTCTGGCTGATGGGAACCCCAGGGGGCCGGTTTAAACAAAGGGAACTAGACTACAGACCAGACTGATTTTGAATTGAGAATAGTTTTGTTCATGGTAGATATTTCCCACGAACGCTTTTCACACTGACACAATGTTTGTACACATGTGTGGGTGCAATTAGATTTTTCAGAACAACACGGTGTGTACTGATCAAGTAAGGGGCAGTTAGTATAGCCATCATCTTAGTCATTTCTCACTGTGTCGGAAGCATCCAGAATCATCTTAATTTCTCTGAGATACACAGCAAATTGTTATTAACTATACTGACCTGCATTTTATAGCACTAGAAATACACATTCCCATAAGCAATGAATGAGAGTTCCGGGTGCTCCCTGTCCTCGCCCACATTTGGTGGTGTCAGTGTTCTGAATTTTGGCCGTTCTCATAGCTCGGTGGTGTTGTTGTCTTAATTTATACTTCCCTAAACATAAGATGTGAAGCATCTTTTCCTAGGCTGCCCTGCCATCTGTATACATTCTTCACGGAGATGTCTCTGAAGGTCTCCAGCCCACTTGTTAGTGTTGTATTTTCTCATTGTTGAATTTAGGTGGTCTTTTTTTTTTTTTTTGGAGAGGTTTTCGCTATAGGGCACGTGCGCTCACCAGACAGACAGAGAGAGACATAGAGACAGAAAGCGAGAAATCACCCCCCCAGGGGGGGATGGTCACGCCGCAATCCCTTCTCCTCCATTCTCCTCTCGGGATCTTGGGCACGCGCGTACACGCCCCCGGCGTGAGTTTTAAGCTACCGGGTCCAGGACGCGAACCGCGGTCGACCACCTGGGAATCCAGTGACAAAGCCATTACGCTAACTGCTGGTCCCAAGTTTAAGTGGTTTTTTATCAGGTATGTCTTTCTTGAATATTTTCTCCCAGTCTGTGGCTAATTTTCTAATTCTCTTGACATTTTCTCTGACAGAACAGGGATTTTTAAATTTAATAAAGTCCAATTTATTATTCCTGTCATTGGTCACATCTTTAGTATTGATTTATTGTAAAAGATCATCACCAAACCAAAGTCATCTAGATTTTGTTCTGTGTTACCTTCAAGGAGTTTTATGGGGTTTTTTGTTTGTTTATGTAAAAAGGCTTTATTTGCAGGGAAGCAGGTGTTTAATCAAATAGGCCAAATCCCAAGTCATCGTCTGACTCTTCAGACTCCGCCTCACCGTTCTTCTCTTCAGCTGCAGCAGGGGCAGAGCCAGCAGCAGGGGCTGCAGAGATGGCCACAGCCCCGCCAGTAGGCACACGGGCAAGCTTGCCAGTCCCTGGGCAATGACATCTTCAATGCACTTTCCATTCAGCTCCCTGATGGCCTCGTTGAACTGGTCTTCGTCTGCCTCGATGCCCACGCTGTCCAGGGTCTTCCTGAAGGTCTTGGCGCTGGGGGAGGTGCTGCCCCCGAGGGCGGCCCCCAGGTAGGAGGCGACATAGCGCATCCCAGCCTCGCGGACAGGCCTCACCGGTGCGACCTCAGGTCAGCGGTGCCAAGCCCGTTTTATGCTTTTGCATTTTACATCTAGATCTAATCCATTTTTAGTTAGTGTCTGTAGCAGGCGTAGGTCTGTCTAGACTCATTTCTGTTGTTCTTTTAGATGTCCAGGAGTTCTGACACCATTTCTGGAACAGACTCTTCTCCATTGTATCGCTTTTCCTTCTTTGTCAAAAACCAGTTGATTATATTAATATGTATGTGGGGCTATAAATAGGAATGAAAATTGTAGTAGGGTGTGTTCCATAGCCTGGTGGTTAAGGCAGCCAGACATCACCTGGTCAGTCACATGGTTCGAGTCTCAGACCAGGCAATTTGGAAGATCTGTCAGTTAAGTGTTTGTGTGTGCCCAAAATCCCGACAGGTGAAGGGGAGGGATTGTGGCGTGACCGTGCCCACTGGAGAGCGCTTTCGCCCGTTTCTCTTTCTGGAGAGTACACACACCCTCTGGCAAATTTTTTAAAAAAGTAAACACATAAAACAATAACATAGTCACTTCTTACTACTATCAAGCATTACTTGTGCAATTGTGTGTCACACTTTTTATTTTAGTTTGCTATAGGGCACATGTACTCGCTGGAGAGAGACAGAAAGAGAGGAAAAGTGAGAAATCGGCCCCCAAGGGGGACGACCAGGTCGCGGTCCCCTCCCTCCGGTCTCCTCTCCAGCTTTGGGCATGTGTGCGATGCGCCTGGCATGTATTTCAAGTCAGCAGGTTCGGGACTCGGACCGCAGAGTCAGCCTCCTTGGCCTCCACACCCGCTGGCCCGTTTATGCCGCTCTAGGACGAGCCACACTCTCCCTGGCATCAGCACACAATGCTGCGTCACTGGCTACAGATGTCCCCGCTCCCACCACCCTGTGGGACCCCGCTCACCTGCCACCTCCCATTGTCCACAGCGGCATGACCTGGTGTGTGACTATTTGAAAATGGTTCTCTCTCTCCTCCCCTGCCGGAAACCTGGGGGACGGGTACCCCGTATTCACTGTGAGAACCTGGTCAAACCCCTGCAGGTGAAACTCACCAAGGGCAGGCCTCCCTTTCTCTGCAGAGACTGGACCCCCGAATTTTCATCTCTCAGGTTTGCCCACTGAGTCTGCAGCAACTCGTCTCTTCCAGTTCCAGGCTTCCTAACCCGGACGCTAGATCTCACGGAGCTTTCTGCTCATGGGTTTTACATGTGTTTCCATGCGTGTGTGTGGGTGGTGCTCACTTAGGCAGGGTCACTGCGTTGCCCACACTCATGCTAAGACTATGGGTGTGCAGCGCTGGCTTCACTTTAGAGGGCCAAGAACGAAACCCAGGTGCCCCTATCAGCTCGCTGGGCAGCCACACTCAGCCTGGGCTCTCACCCCTGGACCTGCCGTGGGCTGTGCTACCGTGGGCTGTGCTGCCGTGGGCCATGCTGCCGTGGGTCGTGCTGCCGTGGGCCGTCCTGCCGTGGGCCATGGGCTGTCCTGCCATGGGTCGCCCTGCCATGGGCCGGGGGCTGGGCTGCTGTGGACTGTCCTGCCAAGGTTTCAAGCGGCAAAGTTGTGACTCTCTGTATTCACCTGGCAGTGTCTCCAATCCTGGGGGCAGCAGTGAACTGACTTCCCTAGTGGAGCTAAGAAGAGTTGCTGATGTTTCAGCTTGTTCAGCTTTTTACTTGCTGTTAGGATGAAGTGGCCTTTTCTTTTTTCTTTTTTCTTTTTTTTTTTGTAGCAGTTTTGGCCTTAAGGCACATGTGCTCCCTGGGCAAGAGAGAGAGACAGAGACAGGGACAGTGAGGGGGAATGTGAGAAACCATCACCCAGGAGGAGCGGCCATGCCATAGTGCCTTCTCCATTCTCCTCCCAGGATCTTGGGCATGCACACACATGTGCCCAGCATGAGTTTCAAGCCACCTGGTCTGAGATTCGAACCACGGTACGCCACGTGGGAGCCCAGTGACACAACCGCCACACCACCTGCTGGCCCCGAGGTGGCACTCCTGAGTGTCTTACAAGTTGCATGGTAATATCTAAAGAGAAAATTGTAGTCCTATTCTGGGGTGAGACTGTGTAAATAAGTCACACTACAGAACAGTCGCCAGCTAGAACTGGGTGTTCTTCGTACAATGTCAAACATCTCGCAAAGTATAAATCAAGAAGGCACTACACACGACAGGCGCACAGAAAGGGGAAACCGAACCATCTCAGTAGCTCTCGCAGTTTCACACATACAAACAAGAAACACATTTATTAAAAAAAATATTTATTAATTTTTACACCTGCTGGGTAGCACAAGACTATTAACACTATAACTCACCGAATGTACAGTAAATGTTCACATTTAAATAACAGGAGAGCGTTCAACATTTCCAACAAGTGGGTCCGCTTTAGCATCTCACGAAGTGCTTTTCAGCCCTAGGTATCTTAGAGTTGTTCGAAAGGATAATTCCAAGTCAGAAAACAATTCAAGAAGATCGAAACAATGGGTTTTTCCCCAAAAAATAACATGAATTTTACATGATGAAATACCTATTTCTGTGGGTATAAATCAAATAATAAATGTAAAATATATCTCCAACCTACTCCGGAATACCCACACTGCACTGCATGAGGTAACAGTGTCAGCGTGTCAGGAGAGGCTGCGACATACAGTGGCCACGTGTGTCTTCCATAGCAGGCCTTCAGCGGGCGTGTGCTCTGCCTCCCTCCAGCCCAGCCCTCCTGCACATGACACCCTGACTGAGGTGCATAATCCTGCCCTGAGCACAGTGGTATGTGGCCTGCCCACCACCCACGTCTCTGGTTGAAAAGATACAAATTCGTTTGGGTCTTTATTTATTCCACGTAAGGACTAAAAATAACAAGGAAAAAAATTAGAAGGAAAAGAGACAAATAGGTCCTTCTGAAGCATCCTCCTCTGTGTATTTCAAAACTGAAAATGACTGGCATAAGGCAAGCATTCCATTCAGTGATGGTTTTCCATTTTAACCAGTAAGTTCTTCCTGAGGGTTGGGAGATGCCTTATTGGTTCGAGTTAAAAAGAGCCCAACAGGGTCAAATTTATGTTATAAAAACTGAAACTGGACCTTTGGAAACATCTAATACCCTTCGCCTAGCAAGTCTTCCCAAATTAGACACTAAGAAGTGGACACTCCGGACCTCCGTGGGGCTTTGGGAACTAGAGTCTGCATTCTGTGACTCTGTCCACGTTTTCCGTTGGAAACATCGACATTACGTCTTCGTCACTAAAAAGAAGAGTCCTTTCACTCGCCACCTGTTTATGAAGTGCCCTTCTCAGGCCTCTTAGTGCCCATGCTTTGAAGGGGGAACGAGGTCCCAAACTAAAGTGCAAACTCTACATATTAGTAAAGTTATTTCGACAGAATCATTAGTTTTCCAGAAAGGCATCTTTAGCATAAAGAAATGACTAGACTTCTTAATTTGTAGAAGCAGTTTTACCTAGGACTGTAAATAAGATAGATTAGTTTACTTCATTTAAAATAGAATTAGATCTTTCTGTTCTGGAGTGATTTTCTACTATGCAATAATTATTCTAAAAATGTGTTTGTGTCACAAAACACTGCGAAAACACACAGACCTCTGACACAGTTGGTGTTTACGACTGGAACGTGCCAATAAGCAGGGGGCACTGCTCCTCCCTGCTGAATTCATGGCAAACGAGCCCCCAGCAGAGACACCTACGAGGACGGTGACCTCGTCAGGGGTCAGGTGCTTTTTCCTCTCCCAGCTGACAGCTCAGTGTTCATGAAGACTGGCTCACTCCCAGGTCCCTGTAGTTATACTAATGTATTAGAAATGGTCCCTGCATGCTCGCTGCTCCCCCCTGTGGAGCTGGTCACCCAGGGGGTCCAGGTACATCGCCATGTAAAGCTCAAGGTGCTAAGGAATAAGGCAGCCCCCATCCGTCCACCTCTGGAGAATGTTCATTTTAAGACAGCGTTGGAAGTACCAAAGTACACAGAGCAGGCTGGGCGGGAGTTCCGTCCCTCAGCGAGGACACAGGCCACCTTTACCGACCTCCAGCACGCGGGTCCCGCCACACAGGACGAGGTTCCGGTTCTCTCTCCCCCCAGTGTGTGTGTGTGTGTGTGTGTGTGCGTGTGTGTGTACATGTGTGCATGTGTCTGTACGTGTACACGTGTACATCTGTGTACCCGTGTGTGAGTGTACGTATGTGTACATGTGCATGTACTTGTTGGCGTGTGTGTGCATGTGCATGTGCGTGTAGGGTGTGCGTGTGTCCACACATATATAAACATAAATAAGTCACCTTTCTTGGCACCAGCATCTCCCCCTGCACATAACCACAAGCAGAGACTGGCAGGCAGGCAAGGCTTCCATGTGGGGGCTGAGGTCTGCTCCTGTCGGCCTCCCCGGGAGCCCACCTTTGCAGGGTGTTAAAGTAAGAATGATCAGGACTGGGCCGCGCCGTGCAAAGCACTACCGACAGTCCACAGAGTTACCCAGAGGAGGAAAGCTCAAAGAAAAACGTGGACCACAGCTCTCTTTGGGACATCAATGCCCCCCTTTCCTTTCCTGCTTTTCTTTTCTAATTCATAGGCTCCCCCTGTTGAATTTCTGAGAACTCCACTCCCAAGGCGAGGTACTGCCCTAACACCCACCCAAACACCCTTCCCCGGGGGTGCCGGTGGTGCCGGGGGTGCCGGTGGTGCCGTGGCTTGGAGTCAGGAGGCCCACGGCCCCGGGCGCGGCACACCGTCTGCACCTTTGGTATGAGCACGCGGCCCGCTCGGTGTCTGCACGCGGGAACGTGAGGCTGGCCAGTGTGTCGGGAAACCGAGGGAAGGGCAAGGAGCTCCCGACCCTGCTTCCCCCAAGGCCCTCCTCCCGCGGCAGCCACCCAAGGGCCCGAACGCCGATGCCGTGAAGATGACCGCAGCAGGATCGACGCCGGTGGCTGTGAGTGTCAAACTCCTGAAGGAACACAAAGCTCAGGGGCCTATCGGGGTCCGGTGTCGGCGCAGACGACCGAGTGTCGGCCGCCCAGCTAGGGCTTGGCGATGTGCACCTCGCTGCCGCTCGTGGCTGTGATGATGTACTGCGTGGTCGGCGGGGCGGCCGGGTGCGGGGGGCGGGGGGGCCCCCGCG